TGTTCATGCAAACAAATGATTGACTTGAGCGGGAATCGAACCCGCGACCTTTGGAATAGCAGGCCTATACACTAACCACTACGCCATTCGGTCGTCAAAACAATAACAACAATACGCACTTTGAAGTTTAATATTTAGCAAACGGATCACTTAATCGAAAGATGATCTTCAGAACTCTTCAAGACGCTAGCTGGACGATCAGACAGGTATCTTGTTCGGATTACGGAACCTTAAATGAAACGGTAGGGATGTTATGTTCGTTCTACATAGCAGTTTAACGCTTGCGTGATCTTACACTCACCTGCTTTTCTTCATTCGACGTAGCAGTTACACGCTTACGTGAAATGTCATATTCACGTGCTTTTCTTCGTCCGACGTAGCAGGTTTACGCTTGCGTGATATGTCATACTCACATGCTTATCTCCGTTCGACGTAGCAGTTTGACGCTTGCGTGATATGTCATACTTAGGTGCTTTTCAGTAGTTAGATAAAAGCCACCAGGGTTTTCTCACGTATCCAGATTTCGTTTTAGAAAGAAGTATTTTTATTTCTTTATGGTAACTTAATGCACAATTTGTACACAGGCGCACTTAACCTCTGATATGGCGCTACACTGTACAGTGCTTACCGGTGAAAGCACTTTACAATGTAGTTGCATATTAGATAGGTGGCATGTGAAGAGTTAATACCAAGGGCTTTCTCTCCCAGTCGACCATCAGGTGATGTAGAAATATGATAAATAATATTATTAATAATATAAAATTATTTTTATTAAATTTATTAATTTAAGATAAATATAACTTAGGTGTAATATACAGGAATAAAATACTTTATTCATCACTACAGATATTATGTAGTGGTCCACAAGTATAAACATACAATATATTAATATAAATAATTAAATACACAGTGGGGTACTAACGTTGTGACCTATTGTGGGTACTTTTTTTTTTGAATGTATAGCGATTAGTGGACATCCTGATTTTAAATGGGAACGCATTCCACAGAAGAGCTTTTTTTTTTTTTTTTTTTTTTTTTCCGTGCGGAAATCCCCTCGGATACCACCTGTCGGTGGCATGTCGGACTCGAACTAATAGCCGGGGAACCAGGTATACCCTAGAAAGGAAGGCCCTGGTGAAAGGAAGGCCCTGGTGTCCACAGAAGAGCTGTCTTTTCTAACTTCGGTATATCTACTAAACTGTAGATTCTGTTATCTCATCGACCTGACATCATTATCGATTTTAGTGACCATCTTTCCACGGTTATTTTGCAATGTTTACATACAATTGAATTTCAAATTCTGGGTATTATAAATGTGATGAAAATTACATTTTATTTTACAAAAGTTAGTGCACAACCTAAATTATTTTGTGAATCGAATAAATAACCTTAATATCTATGAATATGCTACTTATTTCCTTGTAATTTTATGCACAGAAGATATGTGGCCTAGCAATGATTTGTCAAGGCTGGTAATTAAAATTACTCTCTTAATAGTAACTTGTGAGTAAATACATATATATCAAGAACCTAGTCTAAGCAACTGCTATTCTTATGCTTTTTGAAGATGGTTTGCTAGATTATGAGAGATATGATATTAAAAATGAAAAAAAAAACAGTATAAATTGTATACTCAGCTCAGCAGCATATGCAGTAAGAAAACTCCGAGAATTAACTGATGTTCATACAACACCACTTATTTACTACGGTTATTTTCATAGCATAATGTCGTATGATTGCTGCCTACATTCAAACTATTTTTGTACTGCAAAACAGAGCGATTTGAGCAATTTATAATTTAGATTATTTATAATTTAGCCCAAAAGATAAACAAATACAACTTAAGTATAAACAAATTTAAATCCTCAACAAAACGTAAACTATTACTCAAATGTGGATACATAGGAGACAAGAATGCTTGGGATTGATGCACAGGCTATTAAGTGGAAAAGTGGTGTAGGCTAATGTTTTATTTTTTCCATTTCTTAGGTTTTACTTCACTTTCATTTCTATTCCATCTTTTTTCTTTATCTTTTTTTCTCTTCATTTCCCTCTCACCTTTTCGTCTTGTAAATCGGCACACGCATGTAATAGATTTTTAATAGGTATAATTCTATTATATTTATTTTGCTAAATATTTGATAAAACAGAGATTGTTGCTACTGTGTGTGTTGATCTATGACTTTAGAGCCTACCAAAGAGACCATTTCATCTATTTTTTTTAAATAAAATAAAGATATTTTAAGTTTGAGTAGTAGAAGATGAGTGGTATGACATCATAATAATATGTTTCTGGTATTATATCTGTTTAATTTGTCTTCTAAACCGGACATATTCTTATTTACAGCTTAAAAATAATGTTTGAGTCATAGATGAGGTCGAGATTCTGTGTGTAATCTTTAATTATAGGTTACAAAACAGTTGATGGAAGTTTTCTTTGTACAGAAGATAAGCATTACTATTAAATTAAATGAGGTTATTGTCACACTTTCCTGTTTCTTCTTCTTCTCGATTCTTTATTACATTTATGTCAAAATTTGGTTTGCAATGTTATAGTTATTTTTAAGTTTATTTCTTGTTGTTAGTTATTATAGTTTGAGATCAGACAGCCGTGTGTGAGATGTAAGAACTTATTATTTATAATTCATTTTAATAAAACTGTAAAGCTTAAAATAAAACTGTTTGTCCTAGATGGTATGTTAGGATGGTAGGCTTAGGAATCAGGATTACCAACAACTTGACGAGCAGGTCAAAACCTACTAAGATTATAAATTCAAACTCTGTCTGTCTATTACGCTTTCATGGCTAAACCGCTGAACCGATTTTAATAAAATTTGACATGGAGATACATTGATTCTTGAGGAAAGGCATCTACTACTTTTTACAGCGATAACCGACATTTACGTTAGCGTTGCCACGGGCAAAAGCTGATAATAAATAATAACCAAATAATTAATAGGCTCACTGCAATGCATTCACATTTAGCTAGTTAGTTTGAATGTGTTCTTACCATCTGAATGCCACATCTAGTTAATAATTTCAAGTTACATCTTTGGTTCAGTTGCATGGATTCCTAGTGTTTTCTGGAGTGTTTCGCAAGTTCGTAATCTTATGCAAAATATATTTGACTACCCACTTTTATTTTATGTTATATTCAAAACGCTCAATTTATTTATTTTGTTTACTTTTATGGATGTGTTCTCAGTAAGTGAATTGTGTAAATTCTTTTGAGAAATAAAGATTCTTAAACCGTAGAATAGATAAATATTTTTATTTGCAATCTTAAAATTTCTCTTAAGAAGTAATTACGAAAAACTTCAGCAGCAGTTCTTGTTATATTTCCATTGAATTAACCTTTTAAAGTCGCTATTTTCCGGGGGAAAATATACAAAAAGAGCATATTACTTCCTCTGCTTTTAATTAACTATATTCTCTGGTGTCTTGCAATATTTTTAATGTAATGAAACTTACTTAAATATAAGAAACAATTTTTTTAATGAAAGATTACTAAGGCACGTCACTTTAAGCCACGTTAGACGTGTACTCATACATTTAGTCAGTTAATAGAAATTAATAAGGGCATCTATTAACTATGGGATGTGCCACGGAGATGCATCGTCCGACTTGATGTGGTATGACTTTGTATGTTTTGCGTTGTAGTATAGGTTAAGAGGGGTAACAAAGTAACGTCGATACATGGCATACGGTCATTCAACAAGGTTGCAGAACAAATCTCCCCGAGCGTAAATAGGGTTTTACGTCTATAATTTGTAATCAGACAATGTAGAAAATATATTTTTTATTAATTTTACAAAAACTTAGTACTATTGAAAATTGGTTAATTTACTAAATTCCAATGAATGCAGACAAATCGGTGTACCAAGTCTTTGTTATTAAGGGGTCGTGCACTAATGAACAAAATACTTCCATTCAAGACCTCCACTATAAGCTGGCCTACCAGTCCTTTCTTTAACATCGTACTATGCATATTAAAATAAACCAATTACTGGGTTCGTAGTTCGGGGCCAAGATGAACTGGTAGTTATTCAGTTCGTCTAGTTTGTATTGGTAATTGACAATTCTGTTTCGAACGTTTGTTCCTTAACACTAGGTAGATTAATTCAAATAGGTAGTTAATAGGATGTACGTCGCTTTTGAAATTGGAACAACAGACAATATCGATACTATTTTCACTCATTCGATTTATAATTAGTGGAAAAACCACCTGCTTTTAACAGTTTTTGATTTAGAGCCATTTTGACATCGATTTTCGTTTCGGTATAAGTTTATCAACTGACTTTGACGAAACGGTCTCGATCAAACTAAACATGGTGTTGCAGTACGGTGTCTTACAGCTCAAACCTTAGGTATATTTTAGAAAGGAAATGGAGTAGTACCCAAACTTGTGGCATGAACGATTGTGGTGTAAGGAGGTAAAGCTCCGTCCTCTACTTCAGAGACATATTAGTCCTGCTTCTGCAGGCGATAGCTATATATCACCGCACCGAATGAATATTATAAAAATACCCAGACTCACAACAACAATATTTGTGAATCACAAAAAGTGTTGTCCCATGTGGAGGTCGAACCCACAACACTCAACGGAGTCGGAAGCGGTGACGTGGCCGCTTAAACCACTACACCATCCGTGCAGGCGTTACATAAAGTGTTTTTATTTCATAGAAATATTTATATAGATATATACATCCGGCTATTCTTAAGCACTTAACATGGAAATGTTTTTTATTTAGAAAAACACAATACGCTACGTACGAATTTATCGTATCTTAAGTTCACAGGTTGATTTCATTTACACTTGCCGCAAAGTAGAGTTTTTACAGGGAGATTGGTTTGTTTTGTATTCTTAGAAGAACGAACACATAAGGTCAAATGCTCAACTTCACCGATAATATGTTGTATATAAACTGATGGCGCTATTCCCAACTGCACACTTCCAGTACCATTTGTTTCGTAAATTTAGTGAAAAACAATTTAACAAAATGGCGTTAAAGGTAAGTTTATATTTTTATTGTTAACTATATTTGCATTACGTCGTCTGAAAAGGTCTAGAAAAATGTAGTTTTTGGGTTTTTGTAACAAAGAGATAACAGACGAAATACTATCAAGTAAACACCTGACCTTGACCTTGACACCTATCTAGAATTAAATCACAAATTATATAATTTACTACTGCATATTAAAGGGTAACACTGACCTAAAGCTTAGGAAGTGAACGGAATGTACTTATTATATTTTTCCCTTCTTTTGTTTTCAGATCATGTGCTTGTTCTTAGCCCTAGCAGTAGTGGTCTATGGTGAGTTGTGACTCAACATTATTATGTCATTTCGCTTGTAGATGAGTTTAAGTAATCCTAACTAAGCAGATGAGTTTTTATTAACACTCTTCGTTCCTTTATTATACTTGCAAATGTTGTATGAAAACATACATTATATAATCTAATACAATAAAAGAACTTTCTTTTAAATATTCTATAGCTAAGTTTGTCAATAAGAAATGGTTCTTTACTTACACGAAAAACATTTTCATTACACTCAAAAATATCACGGTTCACATATAAAAATTCAGAATATAATATTTCTGTATCTATGTACACTACATTATATCCTTATTTACAGCACGTAAAGATCCATGCATCCTTCGTCTCTCGCTTACACTCATCTAGAGCTAAAATAATTATTTCTAATCATGGCAACCATTTCATTTTTTTTCTCTTCTCCTTCTGTGCGAGACAGTATTGCTAACATTACTTCTTTTATGTCCACTTTATAATTCGCAACCAAAGGGTAGTGCACCTCCACACTCATTTCCACACCACCCTAAGGTAGACTGGTAGAGAATGCCTATGGCATTAAGTCCGCCATTGTACTTATGTGCATGCAGTTATTAAATAAATAAAAATAAATAAGTTCGGCCATTTTCTTACTGGCAATAAAAGGTTATCGTATACAGCTAATATTAAGTATAAATTATTCAAATCATTATATTAATGTAATATTTTCTAAAAAAACAAATGACTGTAAATAATTAACAGTAATATACCTGTTTATATCCGACAACGTGAGGTCGCAACGGACTGGGAGTTGGCAATCATTGTTTTTTAATATTCTTTCAAATAACGTAAAATTCATTTAAAAACATAGATCAGATGCAATTCGTATGAATCAATTATTACTTATTTCCATGTAATTACTATTATTTTTATTGGGAACCAGGTACTAATACATTGCATACTTAGTCATCATTTATTTACATTAAGGATTGCCATTTCGTGGAATAAACAGACACCTGCAGAATCGGGTAGAGGGGTCTCTTATTATTAACTCAGTTCTACGATTTACAGTAAATTATCTCAAATTTGTACCTATAGCTTGATAAGCACAAGTCAATGTTGTTGATGCATAAAGACGGCGCCCAATTACTCATTATTTACATTCCTCAACAAAAGATAACTAAATTTTGACGCATTATTTATGTGGTACATGAAATTCAAACTTTCTAGATTATTATATTTTTATTCAATGTGTGGTAAGGCTACCAATAACAAACGTTTCAGTTTATTTATAATTTCGTGATCCTCTTTTGAAAAACTATACAATAATTAAGTAAATCGGTAGGTTTGATGGAGGTAAAAACCTTAAAAATAAAAACCAGTGAGCGAAATAAAAATGAATCTATAAAATCGAAATCTGTACATTGATTAGTAGTTACGAGGAATATTAATACGGGTGAAATACATAACTCTTTTATTTTGGTTTCCTCGCAGTGGGATAAAAAGTATGTTATACCTACTCGTAGCTAAATGTCTGATAGTGACCCGTCTGTGACACGTGCCGGTCCGGTTGTACGTGAATCACATCAGACCTAACAACAGAAGTTGCATCATATTATGTTGTGGAATTTTTTGAGAACACGGCCATTACTCCCGAGGTTTATCAGTGGCACTTAATTAATATAAATACATTTGTATTCCTCGCTATTCAAACAGGATTCATAACTGAGAGCTTGTGTGTTGACTATTACATTTAAGAAAGAGATATTACGTTCAAGATGTCCGGTAAATAAATAATTTAATTTAAAAGTGCCATTATGTGGAAAGTGAATCAATATAACATTTTTTTTACTGTTTTTATTTAATATATACTCAATTCAATTACGTTTCTTTATAATGAAATTTTAATTGTAGTAAAAAAATACATAAATTTTTTTGAATAAACTTTAAATGCAGCCTCAAGCTTCATATTAGAATAGAAACTTCTTCTTTTTAAACTTTCTTGAAATAATCGGCATAAAGGCGTTTAATCGGTGTTAAGTGCCTTTGAATTGTCTAAGTTTTAACCAGGTTGCACCCCTTGCACTGGCGGTGGTTATTAGTGATGTGCCGGATCGTTAACAATGTATATCCGCGGATACGGATCCGAATACGGATATTTGGTGGCAAGATCCGCGGATACGGATACGGATCTTAAGTTTCTTACTCAATCGGAGCCCGTGACCTTGATAGTTGTCGCCACTTGACGCTTTACAGTTGATATTGAAATATTTCATTATTTTAATAAGCTAATACAAAGATGTTTGATTGATCTCATTATAAAGATAGCTCTTTCAGTACCTACGACTTGCCTAGTTGATTTAGTGTAGTACGATAAATGATTGCAATACAAAGGTGCCAAATATTTGTTTTAAGAAATAAAAAGTAATCTGAACAGAATTCAATAGTTTTTCATAGCTACCTAATAACCATTATTCAGGGTTATTTTAAATTTACTGAAAACCTCTGAAGTGCATATTAGTCACATTATAAACAACAACTTTTCTTCTGGACTAACACCGAAAACGAAAGAAAAAAAATGTTTCTCCATACAAACTAACAACATTTGATTGGTCATTTGAATGGAGGACCAATTTCTTTTCATTTTGATGTTGGCCAGAAAAAAAGTTGCTGTTTATAGTGTTATAAACACATACCTAAGAGTTTTACAGTGAATACAAAATCACCTATATAGAATTTCATCTATGTATTGAAAGATCCGCCAAAAAAGTCACGGATACGGTTACGGATCTCTCTTCTCCCTTGGATATCCGCGGATACGGATACGGATACGGATATCCGGCACATCACTAGTGGTTATAAGCTGACTCTGAACATTACGAACGTTAATTGCCGTGCTATTTGACTTAAAGGCCTATTCTCGTGATAGTTTCGGTTATAATTCACTTCCAATCAACTCTCGATCTCACAACTACCATAAAATGTATTTTCTTAGTAAACTATTATTAATACATAAAAAAAAGTAAATGAGTATTCTATCAGTTAATCTAGTGTTCACAGTACAAGCTCTGCTTGGTTTAAAACTAGTCTCAAATATTATTGTTATTAACCATATTGCAATCGATTCAATTTTCGGTTACAATATGACATAATAACTTACAGTCAACGTTGGTAGTTTACTACAAAAATACCTTTCATTGACAGAAAATATATTTTTGTAGTAAAGTATTAACTGTCTTGTGAGATCGAAAGTTAATCGGAACTTTATTGTGATCGAACTTTTATAACGGGAATTGGCCTTTAGGTTGCACTAGCCGTCTTCACCGGCGGATATATTTTTTATCTGAATTTTTCTTGTAATCGTCTCCCGAAAGGTACAGATATTTAATTATGTATGTTTTATAGAATTATAAATAGTTGTAAATATAATCCAATAATAATAATATAATAATATATCTTCATTCAGTAGGAGAATAGGAGAATTATGGCTAATTAACATGCTGCATCTGTACCTGAACTAGGCTTAACACCTGTATCTCAGGCAACAATAACAATTACAATTACACAAACAGTAACAAAACAATGTTATAGACAACCACGGATTTTAAGAATTATATTTTGTTAGGGTGTAAATCATTCCTTGTCCAACATCAAATAGAATAAAAAATAATATTCCAGTGCTTTTTACAGGTACTCCATACGGATATGGTAATCAAGGCCAGGGAGCTGGTGGTAATTTAGGACCTAATCAAGGTGGATCAGCTGGTTTCGGCCCTGGTCAGTCCGGACCTGGTGGATATGGGTCTAGTCAAGGAGGACCGGGTGGATATGCACCTGGACAAGCAGGACCCGGAGGTGTCTATCCAGGTCAATCTGGTGGTGGTTATGGTAATGCCCAATCTGGTGGGGGGGCTGGTTATGGCCAAGGCTCCTTCCCGGGTCAAGGAGGCCAAGGTGGATACAAGGATCGTGGATATTAGATAAGAGTATTTTGTGTCAAAAGGCTGTAATTTTTTTATATCATTATTAAATATATTTTTTTATATATTTTTTAAATAGTGGTTGTTATTTTACTGAAACTACTTAAGTATCCGGGGTGTGGAAATTGTGAATTTTTTCATTACTCTCTCTGTTATAATGACTACTAGCTTTTGTATGTCGGTTTTCGCGGTAAAAAGTAGTCTACAGTTCTCAGGCACAGCACACCTTTCTAACAGTGAATTTTAAAAATCGGATTGGTACCTTACGCTCGCGCATATCATTCACTGTCCTTTTATCGTATAAATGTAATTAGTAATAAACATTGTATTTTTGGAACGAAGTTCCTTATCGCGCGTTGTGAAAGGGGGCTAGACGGAAAAAATTCATACGAAAATTTGGAACGACACTTTTAATATAAATTGACGTCTAACTGTGGACACCATACATTAAATTTGCTTTAACGTTCGCCAACGTCCATACCATGTTGAATACACCGGTTCTCGTCCGATCACCGAAGTTAAGCAACATCGGGCGTGGTAAGTACTTGGATGGGTGACCGCCTGGGAATACCACGTGATGTTGGCTTTTTGCTCTTTATTTTCGTGTCATCTTGTCAGACATTCCGCGCCATCTATCGAATAGATAGGAAATCATTTCGCATGGAGATTTTACCAATGTATAAATTGTTTTAATTGTTTTTAATATGTAGGTAATAGCCGCTTTCATAGATGGCGTTGTAATTAAAATCGTGTCAAATCAGTTTTACTCGATCGTCACAACTTCGTTCCTATAGGGTGTCCCACGACACCACACGGCTTTTTTTTTATTCATAAAACATTATACAACTAAAATTTCAGTCCACTAGTCTCATTTATACAACCCACTGAGGTATCGTCATCGCCAATATATGTATGTATTTAGGATAACAGTACTCCAAAGGGAAGGAAAACTTGACACAAACCCTATACCAATCGGTCTAGCCAGCGTGGTGTAGTAGGCTCCTTTAGACCTCCTTTCTAAGAAGAGACCTATGTCTAGCAGTGGACTATTATAGGCTGTTGATGAGATGGTCTGAAATAGCACATAGGCTTCTTTTATGTCGGCAGAAATGATTGACAAAATTGATATTAATGAGAACCAAATCGTACACAGGCGCAGAGTGGTTAAAGTTATTAAAGTTTTAATTATTAGAGAGTAAACACATCAATAAAAATTAAAGCCCTAACGTATTTAAAATGTATATATGTTTTGCATTTAAAAAAAAAACCGAGTTCCGGAAATAGAGATTATAAAATATTTTTTACGTCGAAAGGTTATCAATATAATAAAACACATGATTTTATACAACAAATAAATATATATATTTTCCATTAAGTTCCATGTATAAATTTAAAATTACCTTTTTAAATAACATTCATGACAACAATATCTCAATAAGTTATTTTACAATATTTTGGAAGTTGAAAACTTTAAATCACAATGTTTCTATATAATTTATGTATTAGTTAAGTTACCTTTTTCTATATAATAAATAATCAAATTCATTATGTATATGGTATACAATATTTTCATAATTTGGTATAAGTAGGTACTTTGACTACTCGTTAAGTTGCTTTTTCTAGTTTATTTACATATAGATGGTCGGTGCGGCGAGTAACATTAAACATTTCACTTAGTTACAAAGAAAATTGTTCACTTGTTAAAAATACTCTTACTAAACAAACATTAAATATGGTCCACATGAAATTTTAACTTACAATAAAGCATTTACAACACCGTAACTACATACCTACGTATACATAAAGAAATATTTAAATTGTAAAATCATAATTACATGAAATACTAAGAAGAAGGTAGGGAATACGTGAAGGCTGTTATGAGTAAGTATTTGATTTTTAGAGAAGCGAATGTACCATATTCACTGGTTGAGGTAACAATTGACATACTTCAATTGACAAAACAATTGTATTGCAACATTAGTAGCTCAAACAAACTAATCGACATTGCAATTCGTATCTATTTAGTAATGAACTAATAATTTAAAGAAAAACTTTAAATACGAAATACTATATATAAAGTGTATGTACTAGTATAAATATAGTATAGTATAAGTAGTGTATATATACGAGTATAGTTTGTGTGTTTATACTTTTAGGAGTACGCTCTTTTCAACTCGAGAAAAGAGCGTACTCCTTCCTAAAAGGCCGGCAACGCGTTTGTGACTCCTGAGTTGCAGACGTTCATGGGCGGCGATGGTCACTTTCCATCAGGTGACCCGTCTGCTCGTCTATATATATGCATCGTAATACTCAAAGTTCAGGTTAAAATTTCTTTAAGGCGACGCTTTCAATTCTTGACATATTTAACATTATATTTTACTATTATATGATTGCATACTGTTCAATATAAATATCTTATGTAAAAAAATAGGAAATTACTGGATCCCTTCCAGTAGCTTTGGACCTCTTAATTCTTGTAAGATTTGAAGCTTAACTTCGTTTCATCGTTTTAATTTACAGGGTTACACTTTATAGGGTTTCCTTTTTTCAATATGAAAATTTCAAGTGATTTTAAAATCTTATGGGATCGTACTGAGAGCTTTAGTTTTCATCATGCATCAACAGCCTTTAATAGTCCACTGCTGGACATAGGCCTCTCCTTAGAAAGGAGGCTTTGGCTTTGTTTTAGAAGATACGAAATACTGTTAGTGCGAGTTGAAGCAATTAACAACATCAGTTATTATGGCTAGTATTTAGAACGCTTAACGGATACGTGTCCTGTCTTTCTCTCGTCTATTCAAAGTATTATTAAAAAAAAAAAACTAAAACAAATTATATCACTAAATGTCACATGTCCGTATCGTATCTCCTACCTTCTTCATACTATTAAAGAACATAATATAATATTAAACTTACAAAACACTCAATAATGTCTTTTAAAAAGTTGTACAGTCGCCAACACAGTTGATATCGTCTATCAAAACGTTGATTGTAAATAGCATAAATAGCACAAATACAAAAAAAAATGTTTCGCGTGTACAAATGCGTCCGCAATAATGAGATATAAAACTTAATAGTTTTATTTAGACAGAGTGAATTAAAAACCTCTGAGTAGTAACAATATTGCCTACATCCTGAATTTTTACGCATGTAAGTCCTTCAACCCATGCGGTTTACCACGAATACTTAACTTTTTTTTTTGATTTTGTAAAACAATTGTAGGTATCACAATCTCTTAATAACACAGTTTTTTTTTAAAGAAAGTCTCGTTGAAACCAAACGCAGGAGAGTTACTGTTTATATTCACTCTTGTACTCATTACAAAAAAAATTGACTCTGGTGAAAGCGGAGTTAGCGGATTTAGGTACACCTTAAAAATAACGTGTGACTCGTAAGAGCTGCGTTTATAACGACATTGCAAAAGCTGTTTTGACGATTGTAAATATTCTGTGAAGACAAGATATTTTACCACCATTTAATTATTTGATATTATCTACATATATCTCTAATTTAGCTAGTTTTATTCAAAGTTTAGACATGTACAAAAATTGCACTATAATTTTTTTTTTGTAATCAAATGTCGGGGAAAAATATACTTTATAATAGTGCATTTAGGATTTGTTTTAGGTTGTGCGTTATATGCAATTGGTAAATTATATTGTGTGTAAATAGGTTTTGTAAATGAACTATATTTGTATTAAATATTTATGACATCTGTATTCACAAAAAAATGTGTTGAGAAAGTATATATAAGTATATGTAGTTGTGACGATTTTTCGAAAAGGAAAATTAATTTGGATCTACCTTTATGCAATGACGTTATAAAAAATGTTATTTGAAAGTTAGAAATTATATTTTAAAATATTTAATATTTTAATAGATAGTAATGGAAGGACAACAATAATCTGAGCTAATTTTTAATTTAACGTCACTTAAATAAATATATGGAAGTATCTTAAACATCTAAACATCAAACAAGGACTCAAAGTCCATAAAATATAAATTCAAAATTAAATTTATTCAATTAAATTCTATCTTTATATAAGATATTATATAAAAAGTAAAATATAAATAGTGCCCATGCAAAATAACATTTTAAGTTACACAGGCAGCTACGTATCTTATAACATTGTTTCAGTAAGCAATTGTTTTAAATATTGTAGACATATTTATAAAAACACTGTGTTGTAAAATATAAAATATACCTGAATTATATAAATATTTTACAATAAAGAACCATTGGCACATTTGAACTACAGAACATTTAAGCAAATATAAATAATGACGTGTCATCACATTACAATTATTAGCCGAATACAAGATGTAAAACAGATAATAATCTATCATATTAATTTTATTAAGTAGATAAGGATCGCGTAGTATAATAATTGCTAAATGACACAAAATATTTAACACATTGGAATAAACTAGTTGAACATTGAATAACATCGACATGTACGACACCAAAACATTTCAACTAAACGAATATAAAATATTTTAATATTCAAACACTTTTTTACAGAACCATACCTGCATCAGTCTAACTGCGGGAGTCGACAATGTGCCCAGTACATCATCACAATTATGTAATTTCAGCTCGTTATAAAAAAGCACATAAATTACCTAAAGTGTTATAATTTTAAATAACTATAGTACTAGCTAGTACATCGCTTGCTATATGCGAGATGTAAATCGTGTCGCCTAAACCAAAGCTACATTGTTTTAATATGGACAAGGCTCCACTTGTGCGATATTATGTACACAATCTCGTATGTCGTATTTTCTTTATTGACATTTGAGAAGTGTTAGTATGTATCTATACGCACCATCACAGGCAACACGATAAAGTGTAATTAGCTAAACGATGACCCTGTGTCAGTCGTGGACTGTTACCGAGGCGCTCACGGCGTCTATCGGGAACAATTTCTATCTACGAGATTTAGAATCTACGATCTACTTACGTAGTCGACTTAGGCACTGCCTATCTAATGATTCCGAAAAAGACGGCCCTATCCTACTTACCTAGTCGAAGTAAATAATATGATTAATTTAGAAATTTGGCAGTTACGGTTCGATGCCCGGGGAAGATGAGAGGGAAATATTTACAAAGGAGAGGACGACACCAGGACTACATGGGCGCTGGAGGATGGCGAGACGATGGGCGACGTGGCCAATGACGTAGCGCTCGTAACACGCGGTACGGCGATGCAGCGCGACGGGCGCGTTGCCGACGCCGCGGCATACGGGAAGGCACGAGGGGGGGCAGAGCGGCGCGGCACCGGCTGCGGCGCGGCAGCCCGGCCGACGCCGCCGCGCGCAGTCAGAGCGGGAAGCAGCGTGCCGAACGCCTAGGTTCAGATGCACCACGCCGCCGCCGAAGACCTGTTGCTCCACGGACACTCGCTGCATCTCCTTCACTACAGCTACTGCGCTGACCGCCACCCCAAAGACGCTCCGGCTCTATCGGCTGAAGCTTGTGCATTGAAGGTCTGCTTGAGAGTCGGGCACTCCCACCTGCGGGTGTCGATGCGGCGCGTTCAGAGACCTCATCACCGATATCAATACGGCCAAGTCGCAGCGCTAGTGCATATTCAGCTCTCTCAATGACGCTGGCCGGCTCTTCTTCAACGACCGTTGTATCCGCAATAGTGGTGTCAGCAATCGTGGAGTCAGCGGCAGCTGAATCAGCACGTGGTGAGGAGTCCCCTGGTGCAGTGAGAGAATGTCTCGTGCCACTTGACGATGGTGAAGCATCAGCAATGTGGCGTTGTGGCGTTGTGAACACAGAGTCAGATGCCCAGCTCCGAGACTCTGAATTCTGTCGTAACGTGTCATCAACACTTCGCTGGGATGTGCGTCTACTATTTCGCGGACTTTCATCGTCGATTGCACGAAAGTCCAGCGCACTCAAATCGACCGCACCACCCCGACGCCGTGACCCATCTCGTCGGAAGGATGGCTGGTGGGAAGAAAATGCAGCATCATACAGTTCACAGAGACTTGTACGATCCGAGTGGGGTTCTTCATAGAGCGTTAAATTTCGTGTCTCGGTCGCATCAGAGGGAGTCTCGTCGCGGTTTGATGTAACCTCACTTCGTTCTGAAATATCAAATGTAAAGCGTGCCTCAAAACGATCTGGACTGAGGAGAGGAGCGGATCGAGAACAATCATCAGTTTGATGCTGGTCCGCTTCCGGATCAAGCGGTAATGGGCGCAAAGCAGTGCGACGTGGGGATATATCCTCAGAGTCCGTGGAGCGATCAGAGCGTGGTGCATGACATACATGGCGCCTACTCAGTGCTGGTTGAGAACCTAAGGGTAGGCGGCGGCAACACGTACGTTCATGCCGCACATCTGAGCCACTACTGCCGGTCGACTTGGAGTGTGGAGGTCGATGACGACGATCGTCCTCTCGTCCGTACAAAGAAGTAAATTCTTCCGAGCAGAATTTTTCAAAAAGTTCCTGCGAACTGAGCCTCGTTGAGCCGGTAGCGTTGTAAAACGCCTCGGTCGGTGACCGCTCGGTACGCTCGTAGAGAGCGCTTGAGCTAGCTCGTTTTGATTTATCCATGAGACCGAACTTATATATCCTAGGTAAACGACGTTCAAACACGCCCTGCGATTGGGCACGTGCTGGACCGCGTGGGTGCGGCGGTACGTCGGTAAGCGCACGATCCGAGGAGCCCGCACGAAAAGCGGGGGCTGCTCGTTCACGCGCCCATGATGGGGAGGTGGCGAACTCCGGTTCGTACTCGTACTCGTCCTCTTCGGCGTCGGCGGATGGTCCAGAGCGTTCGAGTGAACTACGCACGCAGTCACACTCGTCATGCTCATCACTGACGTCCCCTTCGTCGAAGGACGGTGCACGAGGACCGCGACTAAACACTCTTCGTCGCTCATCGGCAGCGGCAGCGTCGTCGTCCTCGAGGCGGAAAGATCGGCGCAGCGGCGGACGGTCACGGCGTGGGCGACGCGGTGCTTCCACGGCCACTGTGGAGGCATGTGGCAGCGGTGGTCGCGATACGGCGGGCAACAAACGGTCGAGTGATAGCCCTCGCCGCGGCCGATTGGCGCGCTGTTGTTGGCGCTTGGAATCACGTGGTGCCGCAGCGGGACTGGTCTCCTCGGGCGTGGTAGGCAGCGCTGCGCCGCGACCAAACTCAATGAACCAGAGTTCGTCCTTAAGTTCGCACTCTCACTTCTTTTCATTCATGTCCTTATTTAAATAATGCAGTACGTAATGGAGAACCAGATCGTAGCAATACTTGTATTCGGTCTGCGAACAATATGAAAAATTAAAATCAATGCTCTCAATCAAGTGTAGAAGGTTATAAATTTACAAGGGTTATTTACAGTAAAATAATGATAATGATAAACATGCTTATATATTTCTAAATACATACATACTTTAGATTAATTATACCCAGGAACCTAAATCTTATCTTAGACCTATATCTTATCAGTCAGGATGGAGATGATGGAGATGACTAGATTATCTGGCCAGTATGACAAAATAGATAGTAATATAATATAATATTTCACACATCTCAAACATGGCCGTTTAATCCCAAACTAGGCAGAGCCTGTACGATGGTAACCAGACTGCTGATAAACAGACTTATATACTTTTGAATACATACATACTCGTATTATAGATAAATTACACCCAGACACAGAACAAATGATCGTGCTCATCAACAATACAATAATATTTGTGGGAATAGGTGGGAATCGAACCCACGACCACCGGCTTGGTATTCAGGGTCACTAACCACTAGACTAACAGGCCCGTCATACGTGATAATCTGTTTCTGTGTCTGTGTCCTACGATAAGAACAGAAAGTAGATGAAGCAATATTTGGTGAATAAAAGTTCCAGGAATAATGCCACTAATTTCTGTCTGCCGTAGGTATTAAAGATTTAGAGAGTTTATATGCTAATGAAACATACGTACCATGTTCTCCACAAGCTGTGGTCGGTGTCGCCGAACAGTCTTCACTGCCTGAAATACATCCACTTCTCCGTGTTGAATAACTTGTTCTATGCAAGCATTGGCTGCACAGTAAACTCCAGCCCGACTTCGGCCATCACTGCCAAAAGGAAACGAAAATATTTTGTCTTTTGTGTGAACACATTTTTCAAAGTTTTAATGCACTCTGTTAGTGCACACTCAATAATCAATGTTATGAGTGTATCAGCACTGTTTCTCCTCAAAAACCCTTTGAGGATATATTTCCATAGCATTTTTAAGAGACAGAGAACATGGGCTCAAGCAACAATAATTGCAATACTAAGTTTTATCACCATATTCGAATTCTATCTACATTTATCAAATGGCATAAGGTTTCAATTCGTATCTAATATAAAATCAGTGGATTGATAAAACCAATGACTTGTTCTATTATCCTGCATACCGCACTTGGCTAGCCAGTTTATTAGCTACATTTTAAGATTTTTACCAAAGAAAACCATTTGCTTAAATAATAATAATGAGTGTTTTGGTGATCGGATATTCAAACTCTTTACAATACTTACGGCGATACCACACAGACGGGACCATAGTCTGTGCGCTGGCGCCACCGCTCAACCATGTTCATGAGTTCGACCAGTGAGTTGGTGGAAGAAGGCACTTTATGCCCCATGGGCCAACACGTCAATTGAAATAGTTGCACTGTCTTAGTTGGGGCCTTCACGCCAGCCATCAGTTCAGTCAGCGAAATGATCTAGAGAGTTAAATAGAACCCTTTACTTAAGTAAAAAGATAAATTTAAATAAAAGTCAAAGGAGCTCATAATATAGATTTCAGCATTAGTATTTTGGTACGTGTATAAAATTTCATTTAAAGTATGTCTTACCTTCTTATTGATTCTAAATATCCAAGTCTTGATATTAGTGTAGTGGTTATGAGACACGTGATCTATCGTGAATACTGGTCCATATTTCTTAGAATGGCGACCCTCTGGCCAGAAGGGTGGGAATTGTTGCTGAAAGAATGATTATAAATTGATAATTCGAAAATTTTCTAGATAATCAAAAGCTGAAGTGAAAGTAAAATAAAAAAAAACGACTCTTTTATGTCAACTTTATAATTCTCAACCAAAGGGTAGTGCACCTCCACACTCATTTCCACACCACCCTAAGGTAGACTGGTAGAGAATGCCTATGGCATTAAGTCCGCCATTGTACTTATGTGCATAAAGTTAATAAATAAATAAAAATAAAAAAGTGATAAGAAATCTTACAGAATTCTTTGGTGGCACGCATAACACTACAACAGCCGCACATTCATAGTCATATACCAGCGACCAGAACTCTCCCTGCGTTCTTACTAGAGGCCATTCAGTGACAATATACTCGCGAGGTTTTGTGTACCCCTGTGAAAATGGGAATATTTAAGCATAGTAAAATGTATGAGTTTAGTTTATTAAGATTATGTTGACTATAAGATTTCGGCAGATGAACTTACGTCTACAAATACTGCATTGATGTAATCGGTAAAACTGTTTCCTTGGAAAGATGTCAAGTAAGGTCGAAAATTATCAGCTGTAAAATAAATATAAAGTATCAGTTTTGTAACATAAAAATAATTTAATCTACAACCAGTTGCTATAATGTGATATTCATTAATTATGATTAGGAAGTCGAAGTGACTTTGCGTTTAGCAAAATTTAATATAATTTCTTTCTTAACTTAATAGCACTTGTTTGTTTGTTTGTTTTTTTTTTAACCTTAAAAATATTTTGATAAAAGTACTTACGTGGTACTACCAAAACATCTCGATTTTTCTCTCGGTTATCGCCTCTGTGTCCTCCAGCGCAGTCTCCTATCGTAAAGCGAGGAGTTTGCTTACAGATCTGCTGGTATTCTTTCTGGTATTCATTGAGTTTAGAAACCGGATCCCTTTGAGACTTTTGCTTCAATCTTTGTGACAGCTCTGATACTGGGAACCACGAAACTCCACATACTACATGCTCTTCTAGAGTATCATAGACGAACTTGTATTGTTCCTAAACAGAAAATAAATACATCAATACTTAAAATATTTTTAAAGTATATATGTTCCGCTGTTTGTATACTTTGCAATGCAATTTTTTTTTCTTTCTAAAAATTAACTTCTTTCGTTCTTCTCTTAACCACATTTATCTAACAACTGCTAATTTTCCCACGTTTGATTGACAAAGTACCCGGTTTACTTAGTTACAGTAGTAGCGCTAAATTACGAGTATGTTTAGCATAATCCGAGTCTTAAAGTATCTACATATTCTAAATATTCCAGATAAAGGTACTCACGTCTGGTCACGAGACTAAACATTATTAAGGACCGAAACCACAAGTCGCCTAAGTCGAAATACGATCACTTTAACTCTTACCTCATTCTCTATAAGGCCTTTCCTCGATTGCCTGAGTTTTTTCAAAAATCCGAAAACATCAAAGCAGTCTTCCTCCTCGGCTAATTCTAGGTTTGCATCAATAGCGAGGTAGACTCCTGATCGGCCCCCACCGTCACTGTAAGGTAGAGTGGCATATTATATGACCATAACATGACTTTAAAGGAAAGTAATGTTTATTCACATTTTATATTATACAAATAACCCACTTGCAATGTACGACCATTGGCCCAGCAGTGGGATTTGTTGCGAGCCTTCTACCGACAACTGCGCGGACCCTCCGCCGAAACTCTAAGAGGGCGTTGCTGAAAGGGCACGTGTGGGAGTGCCATTGAGTGTAGTGAAACTGTAGGATATAACGTTCTTCCACTACAACCTGAAAAGGAATAATATTCAAAATTACGTTTTCAACAAAACTTATGACTAATAATAAAATATTAATATACGTTTATTTTTTCAATTTTTTATAGTGAATAATAAAATTAATTATTTTGCAAATACATATATTCTCAAATACTTTTACACGTTGATTTATTAGAAATAAAGACATACCTATAATGACGTGTGTCGTAGTACTATGTACACAAATACTGAGCCAATGCAGTAAAAATATCTTAGTTATATATACTTAAACTTACTTTAAGTTTTCACTTATTTTACCTGCTATTTTTATATTATTTGCATACATTTTAATAACATTGCAAGATGGTTATCGTATAGATCAACTAAATTGTTTTAATAACAATGTTAAAGTTTATTTTCATAGATCAGTAAAATTGTCCTGTAACCAACACGTAGTGTAAATTTCTATGTATAATTGTTTTGAAATAAAATTTATTATTATTATTATTACTTACACTTAGAAAAATACTCTAATACGAGTAATAACTACAGGCATTACGTTGACAAAGAAAATCAATACTCACATTTCTGTCACTTTTGTATAGTCTAAAGGTTCGTATGTGAAAGTTGGCAAGTTCCTCCTCTTGCACGATGCCCACACTGATGTCTCCATAAGTCTCATCCTTTTCTTTGTTAGGTGGCCAATACTGAACGCACATCACCTGGCATAAAGCAAGATAATTCCGATAGTTAAAAGAAAACCTTTAACAATTAAAAAACATGTACATAGCTACCTTCTTCAGTTGGCGGAATTACCTACTCAATACTAAACCTCCCTATTTACAGTGCACGAATATAAAGTATATGTATATACGAGTATGTATGTAGGTGTGTATATGTATGTATATATACGCGTAATTATATATGTTAGTTGAAACTACGAGTATAAATATAATACTAATACAAGTGTAACCTCAGTGCATCTACCTAACCAGATTTTTACACCACCCAAAGGTTGGCTATTAGAGATTGCCCTGGGCTTTAAGTCCGCGTATACAAGTGCATAAAGTTGTAAAATAAAAATAAAAATAATAATTAAATGACCAACGATCAAAATATGCAGAAACTTTCTCATCATTGCAACAACAAAAAGTCATTGCTCAGTTGTTTTATGTCCATAAAAAATATTATCACAATTTTAAAAATTACACATCAGTTACACAAGTCATTAGAGATTAAACTATAATACAGTTAATGATTTGCGTCATAAAAGGATCAATTCACTGTTTCGTGTTACAGAGAGTTTACAAACCAATTCCGCCGGCTCTAAGCCACTCTAAAGATTTTTTCATCACACGCATAAAATACGTAAAAAGTATCACTAATGTCAACAAAAAGAGGTTAATGAAAATATACTCCGACTCTACATTACGGTCCTTTAATACCCCAAACAGATGCTGGGCGGCTTTATACAGGTATACTCTGGTTGTTTGGCAAACAAGGGTCTAGAGGATTGGACTTTCATTGTTTGATCGTTTTATTATTTGTGCAAGTGTCTCTTCTCAAGGGATCCAACTTAGTTGAACTTTGAAAGCATCCAATTGAGATGTGGTGGGTTATTTGAAATGATTTTACTATTATTGAGTTAGCTTTTTTATTTATTTGATGGTAAGGTTTTAAATTGTTGAAATAAACCGTTCGTATTCTATACGAGTAATTTATTACAATTCGTTAACAAGACCACGATGTTATGAATTAATCTGAATCGGACTCATTGAAATGGTATGAAAATGCCAGAACAGAGTATAAAGAATTAGATCATACTGAAAAGAGCACGAATGAGGATCTTGCATCGATCAATTGAGTCACGTGACAGTAAAAGAGAAAGAAATAAATATTTTCTAATTCTCTAAGTGTATGAATTAAAATCAAAAAATAAAATAGAAAATTTTGTTACACATTACGCTCCACGTTAACTAATCATTTAGAATTTGTAGATTTTATAAATACTAGAGTTAAGTCTGGCTGTCAAGTAGACGCCGCATACTTTGATTTTAAAAAAGCCTTTGATCTCGTCGATAATGATGTACTTTTAAACAAATTTTCTGTATTGGGCTTTTCAACTTCTCTATTAAAATTTATGGCAGATTACTTAAAAGATCGTAAGCAGTTTGTTAAGGTAGAAGGATATAAATCGGAAGAATATTATACTCGATCAGGGGTCAGTCAGGGTAGTACCTTAGGTCCTATGCAATTTCTGATAATGATCAATGATTTACCTAATGTTATATTAAATGCAAAATGTCTGATGTTTGCCGATGATCTCAAACTGTACCTTTCTGTAAATGAAGCTAAGGATTGTTTGGCCCTACAACATGATATTGACGCTGTAGTTAAGTGGAGTCTAAAAAACAAGTTATCATTTAATAATTCCAAATGTAAAACTATCACTTTTTCTCGATCCCGTAATCCGATTACAAATACATATCATCTTGCAGGCGCCCCAATGGAACGTGTTCCCTCAATCAAGGATTTGGGAGTAACAATGGATAACAAATTAAATTTTCATGACCAGATACTTAAAATATGCAAAGACGCTAATAAATGCCTTGGTTTCATCATCAGAATATCTTCACAATTTAAGAACACTCAAGTTATAATACAAATATACTATACTTATGTGCGTAGTAAATTAGAATATAATGCAATAGTCTGGGGTCCACGGGAGTCGTTGTATAATATTATGATAGAAAAAATTCAACGTAAATTCTGTAGATACCTATATAAGCGTCAGTATGGATACTACCCCTTTCTCTATCCTTCACTGTTTGTGTCAGGAATGGTGGGTTTAGATACACTTCAACTCAGACGGGAATCTACACATATAATGCATTATTGTTTGATACTGGCGAATAAGGTAGATAGCCCTGTTATACGGGAAACAATACATTTTTATGTTCCCGACCAATATATGCGTGCCGTTGGAAGACGACAACATAGACTCCTGTGCTGTCCGCCTACGTGGCGCTCTCCCCAGGCCGACCATAGCCCCACTGCTATAGCAATTAGGCTTATCAATGAGTTCCTTCAGTATAGTCCAGATGCAGATATATTTTTCGACTCCCAAAGCATAATTTTAAAACATATTTATACATATTTAAATTTTAAAGAGTAATTTTATAGTTCCTAAGTTGATGTAAGGTTGTTTTTTGTTTTCAAATTTTATGTTGTTTCTTTTTTGATGGTCTGAGTTTTAAAAATTGTAATAGTATTTAGTTTATTTTTGTTAAAATTAGCATAGATATAAGCGATTTGGTGTATACTGTGATGCTTATATTTTATTAATAAAGAATTGAATAAAGAATTGAATTAGAGTTTGTTACAAAATTTTCTCTTTTAGCCTACTATTACAATATTTCCTTTATAAAAAACCATGTCTACCAAATTATGCTACAAAATATGAGGGGGCGATTTTGCTTCGAAATCGGTAAATTGGAATAGACCTACATATATTATTACTTTAAATAATTAAAGAAATCTCTGCCTACTCCGGGGAAAAGTATACGTGTTATATAAAACGTAAAATATCCTGTAGTAAACGCAAAGACGTAAAAAATAAGACTACGTCGACCGTGTATTTCAACGATGACAATGAAACAGTTTCTAGTGGTTATTTCCTGGAATAATATATGTATATCAGATTAAACGCTAACCCCAATACTGATGGCTAGTATAATATAGGAAATTAGTAAACAACTCCAGTTAAATAATATGAAACATTATTTTGCTATCTCAAAGGCTACGGTCTTGACGATATTGAGTTTTACCTCAATACATTTGCGCCAGTTCGGTCGTTTTTATATATCTAATAAACGGGATTTTATTATATTCTTTTATTGAAAGCTCGTTTGATTTTCATTGAAGAAGACAGATTTCATTTCATTATAGCATTAAACGGATATTCTATAAGAAGTAGGTTAGAAGAAGACTGAATTGTAAAATTTAACGAGAATTGATTTAGAAATATTTTTTGGCGTTAAAAGTAATCATTAAGTCTGATTCCTGAAGTCGGTTGAAAAGGTAATAATGTATTCCCATTTTAACCGACTCCAAAAATAGGAGGAGGTTCTCAGAACTTCTTCGTTTATGTACTGGTTGTTAATACTGATATTTAAATAATCCGCGCATTCAATAAACTGATTTGGAAATATTTTTTTAAATTTCCGTTTTGGTGCCACACAAATTTGAAGAAAAAATTTACTCATAACGCTAAAGAATCAAGAATATGGTTTATACTGTAAATTTATTCATCATGGTAAATTGCTCTAAACTTAAGAGCAATTTACTACGATAAATGAATATTTAAGCCAATGATCCTTTTTTACTCGTAATATAAATAATTTTCGTTGTATGAAAATAACGTTCAAAATGTAAAGAAACAACTGCTTGGTATCTATTATGTTAGTAAAGATTTGGGTAGACATTAGTCATTGGGTAGTTTTTGGTTAACTGAAGAGAATTTAATGTAGTTTTAAAAAAAATCAAAAGATAAAAAATATTCACACTGTCAAAATATTATAATTAAAATAATGTGGAATGCATTCTATCTCATTCTCTCGCCGACTTAATCCTATAAATTTATGTATTTGTTTCTTTAACAAGACTTATTTTTGTTTCATCGAGTTTCTAATCACAACGATTCTAAAGAAGTTTCACTTCAAAAGAATTCATTGACCTGGAGTGTTATGCTACGCAAAATCTAACAGTGACAGATCTTGTGGCAAAGAACATATGAATGCTCAAAATTTCAACACTAGGGGATCTCTAACTTTAATGATATTAATTAATATCTTAACCGATCTAAATCCTCAATTCTAATTGGATTAATGATTAATACTAACAGGTCTAACTAGTAATATATATTTCAATCGGTCTCTATCTTTGGCTTCAGTAACGAAAATATTTGACCATAGTAATCACCATCTAACAATTTTCAAATAAGTAATCTGATTTGCATCTCTCAACGAGATTATAACCACTTACATTTTTCTATGTTTCATACTTCACTTTCGGAGAAACGAAAGAAGGTTGCCCAAGTTTACTAACGCAATAAAGAAAACTTTGTGTCTACCGACCTATATACAAAATATAAGTCGCATCAGTTCTGTTTTCACGTACCCGTGTACTAAAAGAAAATAAATTTATTATGCTCAGTAGCAAAGCAGGAACAAAGTCCACTGCACTGATCGAAAACTTTTAGAAAATATGCGTTCATATTAACTTCGAAACTATCCTGTTTCGTAATATATGATCATGTATGACGGGATGTTTCTATCAAGATACACTGGTCGAGAGTATAGGCAGTAGGCCTGTGATATGTCAGACGATTCAAAGGTAAGGCTTAGTAACTATCGTGAGCGCGTTAGTTCCCGTAATAGTAAGTTATGAAGTACTTCTATACTTACGTTATTATCACAATTTAAAGGTTGTCTGGTCGCTATAAGAGATCACAGACATTTAATAAAGTGCCAAGATAATTTACTTTTGAGCTAGATTTTATTAAAATTTATGTTTGAACGGGCAAAAACCTATATTGTGCTGAACGCCGTGTAACTGTATCAGCACCACATCAGTACTATTTGTTACCTGATGTTGCATTACATTAGGCGGACTTGGAGAGGAGAAGACTTCGGCAACCAAGCGCTAAGCACACCATTTTAGCGGCGGTAAGGCCCGTTGTGGGGGACTGGATCGAGAAAACGGTACGGAGCGAAAGCGAGTGGAACCACCTCACTCACTCGCAGAAGAGTAAGTTAAGAGACTTTTGAGGCTGAAAGGGCTAGAACTCTCACGGTCCGCCAGACCCGCTAACGAGACAGGTACTGCTGGTGGTCGGAGGATGGCCTCCGTCTTGCATAAGTGCAGGCCTAGGGATGACAGATGAAGCAATTTGTCACAAAAACAAAAAGAAAGGTCCGGGACGTCCTAATGAAAGCTGTTATCGGATCTCTCCTATTTAAGGCGCAGTTTATACACCATGCACTTTTAGTTGGTTCTATTCTAATTTACCACCCCACCACAAACCCCGCTGGGGTGACAGCCTATCTACACGAAAAAAAAACAAAAGTTGTAGTAAAGAAATGCCAACAAAAATTTGGAGTTTCATTATTACACATTTTGTAACGTCAACTAGTAGCTTTTAACAATATAATATGGGCGATAGAGTGATGCGGTAGGCGCCGATGAGATCGTTGCCTAGGCTGCACTTGATACTTAATCCGCCTAAGATAGAAGATTTTGAATTTATATCTGAAATTATATTATCCGAATTTATATACATTTTACCTGTATGTATCTGTCTATTTCCTTCGTTTTACTGTCGTCAAATTAATAGTTCGTCAAATTAATTGTGCAGAAAACAATTCATAATACGCATAACATCGAAGCATCTAGTTTTCAGATATAATTAATTTAATAACCAATTACGTACTCATATATTTTTGTGCGCATGCCAATGTTTTAAATAAAATTAACTTTTTCTTTAAATGTGAAGTCATAACAACTAGAAAGTCCAAAGAAAAGGCGAACTATAACTAGAAGCATGTATAAATTAAATTGTCAGTTAATGTCTACACTATACTGTAATATTAAATACCTTTGTTTTTCTATAGAAATAAAGTCGAAGCTTGTAACAAAATGAATAAATTCGTTGCTTATTTTTAATTTGTTGCTTATGCTTATTTGTTTTAGTTCATTCGTTTTAGCTTTTTAGCTTACTCTCTATAATAGCGTCTATCATCTAAAAAGTTTATAAATAATGAAATTTCAAGGAGTAGAAATTTCTATTCACACCATAGCATGTTCGAGTCGAAGTTCGAAGGAAATATAATAATACGTTGTAGTTTCTTTGCTACGTTATTATTTTGTTATATGGTGTTTTCTTGTATAGAATATTTTGAATATGGAGAAAACGAGCACATAAGTCACCTTATGGTAGGTGAATACAGCCAACTATTGACAACTGCAACTAAATGCATCCTTATGTATTAACATCCTTATGTATTAACTTTGCGCTGTAGTCACCCCAATGTCTGTCGTCATTTACCAATTGTGTTTACATTTACACTTTTACCGTTTTAAGATATCAGGAAACTCTTTTATTGGCTTGAGACTTTTTTGTAATAGGTAGTACCAGCAATTAAGACAAATGTTCATACTAGTATTGAAGCAAGAATGGGATCTATGGGAATGGGAAACAAGCTGTTGAGTTTCTAATAATAAATAGATAGAGTCACTGAACTAGGAATTAGGGGGAGGGGTGGGGTAGGACTCCGGTTACCTCACTCACTCTGTGAAAAGCACCGAAATAATTACTGTACACCGGTTTTCGGCGAGGCCTTGGTATCACGCCGGTTCAGCCGGCCCAATTACTTCGAAGCTTGGCTCTCCAGCATGCGGTGGAGAAATACAAGGTTTCGAGAAATTTAGAAATGTATTTATCCAGGAAACAATTATTGATAGTTAAAGTTTGCCAACAACCTTAATGGTTATAAATAATGGACTCCAATTTTATTGTCTTAAGAAATAATTAATAAAAGTTTTATAAAATATCTTCCTAAAATGGTAGAATTACGGCAACATTAGAGACGCTTCTGAAATAGTTATAAAAGCAGTGAAAAGAATATTGATTGGTATTATAAATGGCGGTGATTTTTCATCATTCTGGAACGGAAAAAGGGTTTTGGATGGGTTGACATTATATCTCGATCCATTTATCAGAATGATGCTAGTGGCAACCGCGTTCCTGGTAGATATAAACTGTGACGTCAAAGAAGCTAAGCTAATAAAATTTAAAACGGTGAATTTGAATTTATGCCTTATAGTGGCGTATTTAAAAGGTTATCTTCTGCTATATATGTATGCATACTAAAATCAATATCAAAGTTTAGATAGATGTTTCTCACTTTGGTAACCCAACTACGCCAGAATAACTGAACATCATTAGATTTAATTTACCACCGAAATAGGTTATAGTCCCTAATTGGTCATAAGAGTTATCCATCCCATTAAGAACTTGCTGTCCCATAGCTTAGACAAAAGCTAGTAGTAGTCTTCATATTAAATTTTATTTTAAAAAGAAACGTGGTTTGGGCTCTTTGTTATTCCTTTCAAATGTATCTAAGTAAATTAAATCTAATTCTTCTGTGAAATTTTGTACTTAATAATGTTTTTGTAATTTTGATCTTACAATATCAAAGGCAATCGTTCTGAATTATTCTAAAATACATTTTAATATTGTAGAGAAATTGCCTGAATGAAATTGAAATGTAAAATCGTGAATTCGAGCAAGCGTCAATTATACGAACATCTGTTTTAAGCCCAATACAAATATTTGCTGGCCAAAATTACACGTTGAGGATATTGCTAATTTAACTACAATTACGGCTAAAGTTTATGTAATAAAAGCTAAATAATATTTTACCGTTTATTATTTAAAGGCATATTACACACACAAATTTTATTGATTAATATTAAGAAAGAGCTCGTGGCTAAGTGGTAACCGAGTAGATTAACACATTGCAAACTTAAGAAACCGTATCCAGGTCAGTCAAGAGATGGGTGACCATTCTTAACACATTGAAACCCCTCCGTGCCTCCGAGAGCACGTGAAGCCGTCGGTCCACGTTGCCATACAAACATCTTTCACAATCGTAACGGGTAGTTGCAGCCCTAAAAAGTCCGACAACAGATTTCTACAGAACTTCAATATCGTCTAGTACTTCGGTTGTGGAGGTCATTCGCTCCGCGTGAAAAATCAAAGTTCAGCCGTATCGTAGTAAACTTAAAGCCGACCCCAACCTAGTTTGGGAAAAAGGCTCGGAGGAAGGCAGATTTTACTGACTATAGTTCATTCTCACTTACGTAACAGCGGGCTGGCCAATTGCCGGTAACCACATATACACCAATATTACAGATAAATTACACCCATTTAAGACATGTAATTATTACTTAAAATTATAGTAGGCAAAATTTGGACGTTTAATTTGCCTCTGTGTAAACCTTCGGGGATAGAGACGTGAATTTATGTATGCATGTAATAAATTAGGTAAAATATAGAAATTTTCTTGTAGTATCGACACATTTTGTTTATAATAGGCGTATTAAATTCTGTGTATTGGTAATATAAAATATGTCATATTGTAAATAGGATTCTACGTTTCGAAAAGTTTCATAATCAATTTTTGATTAGCTTATAAATTTCTAAACAATAACAACAAAATGTTAAAAGAAAATATATCAGATCAGCAAACAATTAAAGCATTTTTTACTTAGTTGTTAAGATGCGTGCTGTGGTCAAATATTTGATGGAGTACATATAATAAATACCAGTGTGAAATGTATTTTCGATATTTTGTGTATATCTCTTCTTGGAAAACCTTGATTAATAAAAAAAAATACAGTGTAAATCGGGAGAGGAAGTTATAGAAAAAAAAACTTTAGACATCTCACACACGGCCGCTTGATCCCAAATAAGGCTAGACCAATAAGCTCGCGAAATGGTTTAATAGAAAAAAAATTGTTATATCATTTGTTCATAATATTTTTTTTTTGTTTTAAGTAAATTGATATGCTCTAAATGACTTACCTTAATGAAGTCAAAAGTTTTTGTGAGCATAACAATAGCGGCGGCGCGCTCCTGCCAGATCATGCGCCAGAAATCAACCACCGTGTCTTCTGTTGGACCCTGGGTTACTATGTACGCGTTTGGTTTTAATATACTCTGTGGACAAAACAAAATGAGTTCAGTAAATTTATTAAGTGTGAATATAGCATCAAGACCTGTGGTTGATGTTGTATTCCAAAACAATAAAATAAACATCGTTTAAACTTTAATAAATGTTGCACTGTACACAAAACTAAGATAATGTAACGTTTCTTTTTTAGCTCTATAAGAGTAATTTAATTTTAATTTAATCATCATCATCATCATCTTTAATTCTTCTTCTTTATTCATCTTTAATTCTTCTTTAATAGTCCACTGCTGGACATAATCCTCTCCTTAGAAAGGAGGTTTTGGCCTACTATACCACGCTGGCCAGACGGGTTGGTATAGGGTTTTCGCGTCGCTACGAGGGCGTCTCCCCCCCCGGGCTGGGTGTAATCTGCTACGCGGATGACACTTTAGTCACGGCCCGGGGGGCTAACTTCCAGCAGGCGGCGCGCCTGGCCGCCACGGGAGTTTCCCAGGTGGTCGGGCGCATTGAGGCGTTGGGATTACGGGTGGCCCTGGATAAGACGGAGGCCCTATTATTTCATGGGCCCCGTCGTGGTCCGCCCGCCGGCGCCTCAATCGAGGTCGGCTAGGTCCTCGTACCGGTCCGGGCCCAGATGAGCTACCTGGGTCTGGTCCTAGACGGTAGGTGGCTCTTCGACGAGCACTTCCGACAGCTTGGTCCGAAGCTGGTGGACACTGCCTCCGCCCTAGGGCGACTTTTGCCCAATTTGGGCGGGGCCAGTGTACCCACGAGGCGGCTGTACGCGGGGGTTGTCCGGTCCATGGCGCTTTATGGTGCACCGGTGTGGGTGGCGGCTCTGACCGCCCCGAATAGGGCGCGCCTCTGGCGCCCCCAGAGGATATTGGCGGTCAGAGCCATACGCGGATACCGCACGGTGTCCACCGAGGCGGCTTGCGCCTTGGCCGGAACACCGCCGTGGGATTTGGAGGCGGAAGTGCTCGCCGAAGTTTATCGGCGAGTGGCTGACTTCCGGGCGGAGAGCGGATTTCGCCCTCCGCCCGAAGACGTGCGCGAGTGGCGCGAAGCCGCTCGCCGAGCCACCATGGTGAGATGGTCGTTCCGGCTGGAGACTCCACGCGCTGGCTTCGCCGCCGTGGAGGCTCTCCAGCCGGTCATCGCCGAGTGGGCAGGGCGGCAGCACGGGACCCTTTCCTTCCGGCTGACGCAGGTGCTTTCCGGGCACGGTTGCTTCGGAAAGTACCTGTACTCGGTCGCTAGGAGGGAATCGAGTCCCGCCTGCCACCACTGCGACTGCAGTGAGGATTCGGCCCAGCACACGCTGGCGGTTTGCCCCGCATGGGCGACGCAGCGCCGGGCCCTCACTGCAGTCATCGGAGCAGATCTCTCGCTACCGGCCGTAATTCGCTCCATGGCCGGTAGCGACAGTTGTTTTACCGCGGTCGCAACCTTCTGCGAGGAGGTAATCTCGCAGAAGGAGGCGGCGGAGAAGGCCCGGGAGGACGACCTCCACTCGGACCTGATCCGCCGCCGGCGAACCGGGCGGCGAAGGCGCGCTTATCTGCGCCTCATGCCGCCCTGAGTGTGGCCGCGGGTGGACGGGATGAGTTCTCCCCTCCACCCGCATTAGTTGGCCAGCCGCGAGGGGGCGGCGTCCGCGTGTGCCGGACGTCGCCTAAAGAGAGGGTCCGCATCAGGAGCGGGCCGGCGCTGGGAGGGGTCCAGACGGAGATAGCTACCTGGACCCCTCCTAAACTGGAAGCGCAAAGAGGGCACACCGTGTGGTTTTAGTCGGTTCGAGTCCGACACACCGCCCCGCCGAACGAGAGCCCCGGCGGGGTGACGGTCCGAGGGGATTTCCACACGTAAAAAAAAAAAAAAGGGTTTTCGCGTCGGCACAGCGGCCTAAGGCCGCCGCTCCGACCGCGCTCCCCGTGGTGGGAGGCCGCGTTTCTTACGCGGCGGCGGCGTCTGCCCCTACTCCATCGGCTCCCCAAAAGCCGAGGAGGGGGGCCAAGGCACCGGCCCAGGCGCCGGCCAAGGCAACGGCTAAGGCGCCGGCCAAGGCACATCCCCAGGCGCCGGCCAAGACGGGGCCTAAAACGGCGCCGAGGAGCGGAGTGGCATTCCCTCCGCTCCCCACTCCGACACCCCTGCCGGGCCCCTCCGCACCTGCCCCCTCCAACGAGGGTTGGCAGGAGGCGAGGGGCTCCAAGAAGTCCCGAAGGCGGGCCAAAAGGGCTGCCAAAAAAGCAGCCCAAGCCCAGCCTTCGCCACCGGTGGCAACGGCCTCCACAAAGAGGCCGCGGAAGCTGCAGCCGCCCAAAACCGCGGCGGTAGTGGTGACCGTGTCCCCGGAGGCGGCTGACGGCGGGCTGTCCTACGCGGCCGTCTTCAAAAAGGCCCGGGACAGCCTCGCCACCGATTTTGGGACGGTGGGGGTCAGGATGCGCCTCGCCCAGACGGGAGCTCGAATTCTCGAGTTCCCTGGGGCTGAAGGCGCAAAGACGGCGGACTCGTTTGCTGAGAGGCTGCGGGGTATATTCGCGACTACAGATGGTGTGAGGGTCGCCAGGCCTACCAAGTGCGCGGAGCTGCGCATCTCGGGCCTGGACGACTCTGTGACGGCCGAAGATGTCCGCGCTGTAATCCGGGAGAAGACGGGGTGCAGCGCGGACAACGTCAGGGTCGGCACCATCCGCCCCGGTCCAGGGGGGCTTGGCGCCGTGTGGGTCAGCTGTCTCGTAGCGTCGGCCAAAGTATTGGCCGACGCCGGCAGGCTGCTCATCGGTTTCGTGAGCGCTAGGATTACAGTCCTGGCGGCGAGACCGATGAGGTGTTATAAATGCCTAGCATCGGGGCACACGCGCGTCAAGTGCCAAAGCTGCTTCGACTGCAGCGGACTATGTTTCCGCTGTGGTCGACCGGGTCATGTGGCGGTGGAATGCACTGCCGCCCCTCACTGCCCGGTGTGTGCGGCGGGTAACAAGCCCGCCAATCACCAGATGGGGCAGGGGGGCTGCAAGCCTCCCCGCAACTCTCAGCAAGCATCGGGGGCTAGCCAGTCGACCCAGGCTGCCTCCGATGTAGTTCGTGCGTCGACGTCGTCGCCCATGGAGGAGGTTGTAGAGACGATCCAGTAATGGATCAAGTCTCCAACCTCCTGGTCCAGACGAACCTGAACCACTGTGCCGCGGCGCAGGATCTCTTCCTGCAAACCATGGCACAGTGGTCGATAGGTGTTGCCGTAGTCGCGGAGCCCTATTCTGTCCCTCCCCGTCCAAACTGGATGGGTGACTGGGACGGCTCCGTGGCAGTCGTCGGTTCCACGACGGCTCATTCCCCGCCCTTGTCGCTAAGAGACAAGGGCACTGGATATGTTGCCGTCGAGTGGGGGGGGATCACCATATATGGTGTCTATTTCTCCCCCAACCGGAGTTTGAACGACATCGAGGTTTTCCTAACCAGCTTGGAGACCTCGATACGGCGACTAGCGTCTGGGCACGTCCTTGTGCTGGGGGACTTCAACGCAAAGTCCATTGCGTGGGGTTCCCCCAGGACGGACGCAAGGGGCGAGGCCGTAGAGGAGTGGGCGGCCTCGGTGGGCCTCTGTCTTCTAAACAGAGGCTCCACCAACACGTGCGTGCGACAGCAGGGGGGGTCGATAGTGGACCTCTCGTTCGCTACCCCTGCCCTCGCCGCACGAGTAAGGAACTGGCGTGTCCTGGAAGAGGTTGAGACGCTCTCGGATCACCTGTATATCCGATTTGAGCTCTCCCGGACCCAGGACTCCAGTAGGGGTCACGTGGCGCGGCGTTTATCCCGCTTTCCGCGGTGGGCTGTTGCCAGACTGAACCGGGACCTACTAGAGGAGGCAGCCATAATTCACTCGTGGCTGTCTCCTCAGGCTCCGACCGAGGAGGTCGACGTGGGGGCTGGCCGCTTTCGCGATGCGATTACGCATATCTGCGATGCGGCCATGCCCCGCATTCGAGGTCGTCGGCCTCCAAGGAAGGAGGTCTACTGGTGGTCCCAGGAGCTGGCGGACCTCCGTGCTGCCTGTACACGTGCCCGGAGGTCCTACACGCGCAGTCGGCGGCGTCACCGTGGAGACGCTGAGGAGGACCGACTTCATGAGGAGTACCGACGGGCGCGGCAAACTCTGAAGCTGGCCATTAGCCGCGCCAAAGAAGAAAAGAGACAGGAGATGCTGGAGGGTCTTAATCGTGACCCCTGGGGTCGCCCTTACCGCGCGGTGCGACAAAAGCTCCGCGCGTCGGCCCCCCCCCTTACGGAGACTCTCCAGCCCAGCTTCCTGCGAGAAGTGGTTGAGGGCCTTTTACCACAACGGGCGGAACACACTCCCCCGTCGATGGCCTCCCTGGCCGGAGACGACGGGGAGCACGGGGAGGATAATGTTCCGCCCGTCCGGGATTCGGAGGTAGGGGCGGCTGTTCTACGGATCCGTTCCAAGAACACCGCCCCTGGGCCAGACGGGGTACCGGCCCGAGTGCTGGCCCTGGCCCTCAACCACATGGCAGACCGCCTCGGGGAGGTGTTCGACGCTAGCTTGGCGTCGGGACGCTTCCCTGAGTGCTGGAAAAGCGGGAAGCTGGTCCTATTGAGGAAGCCGGGACGGCCTGCCGATTCGGTCGCGGCCTATAGGCCCATCGTGCTGCTGGACGAGGCGGGCAAATTGTTTGAGAGGGTTCTTTCTGCCCGCATCGTCCGGCACCTCTGCGAGGTGGGCCCCGATCTGTCGGACGCCCAATTTGGTTTTCGGGCGGGGCGTTCGACAGTCGACGCCGTGTTGCGCCTGAGGGCCGTGACCGAAGAGGCCGTGAGCTGTGGCGGCGTGCTGTTGGCGGTGTCATTAGACATCGCCAACGCATTCAATAGTCTGCCATTCAGCTGCATCAGGGAAGCACTCCACTATTATGGGGTGCCAAAGTACCTGAGGCGGCTGGTGGCAGACTATTTAGAGGAGCGTACCGTCGTGTACGAGGACCGAGAAGGTAATTTGAGG